TTAGTGAAGCTAGCCGATCCCTAAAAAACAAATACCAAATGTCTTCTTTGATATAATGAGAGCAACTAAGAACAGAGCAGGGAGGAAGAGCAGGAAGAAAAGATTAACATTAAACAGAGACATGAGGTGGGAGGGAAAGGGAGAGAAAAGGGAAATTGCATGGAAATGGAGGGAGACTCTCACTGTTATACAAAATTATATATAAGAGGTTGTGAGGGGGATGGGAAAATAAACAAGGAGAGAAATGAATTACAGTATATGGGGTAGAGAGAGAAGATGGGAGGGGAGGGGAGGGAGGATAGTAGAGGATAGGAAAGGTAGCAGTATACAACAGTTACTAATAGGGCATTATGTAAAAATGTGGATGTGTAACCGTTGTGATTCTGCAATCTGTATTTGGGGTAAAAATGGGAGTTCATAACCCTCTTAAATCTAATGTATGAAATATGATATGTCAAGAGCTTTGTAATGTTTTGAATAACCAATAAAAAAAAGAAAAGAAAAAGAAAAGTCTTTACTCTTACAATATGGGAATGAACTATTTTTTGGAGGGTGGGGGCAACCAGGGCTTGATCCCAGAGGTGTAACTGATGAGCCATATCTCTAGTCTTTTTCTTTTTTTTTTTTGAGACAGATCTCACTAAATTGTTGAGGATGGCTTTGAACCTGTGATCCTACTGCCTTAGCATCTTGAGTTATGGAATTACAGATGTACAACACCACACCCAGGAGGAAAGTACTATTAACTAGAAACTTTGTTCCTTGTATTTTGGAAGGCATTCTCCTTAATAAGGTATAGAAATAGCAGAAATTTGCTTGATATTTTATCATTTTTGTAAAACCATTTCAATCTCCAAATAGGAGAATATATTTTGACCTTTACTATTAGTCACTGGTTTTTAAAGGATTTTTATTGTTTTCTTTCATGATGACATTCTTCATTCTGTGAAGGCCAATGACATAAGCAGAAGGTATTAGACTCAGAAAAAACAGGATTCTAACAAATATCAGTCTCTATCCAAATTAACAAAAGTCTTATTCCACCACAGGGAAAAACGCTATATGTGAATAATTACCATGAGACAAACCAGTTTTTAGTAGAATAAGATGTGAGTTGCTCAGGCCGTGTGCCAGCATTGGTTTTACACACAGATGCTAATCTAAGCTCTTAAAATTAATTCAGATACTCTTCTAGAATGTGACCCTTTTTGTGTTAATTTAACATATATGTACCCTATTTGAAAAATAGAGAATAAACACTAGTGTTCTCATGGGGGTGAGAATGAAAAGGAAGTGCAAAAGATATCTGATGCATAATGCTGTGTTTAATGTACCAAAAACTGCAGTTTTTCTCAAGCAAGTTCAATCATAGAACCCTCCATTTTTTTCCAGTAAAGAATATGCATTAAAGATAGTTCTTTTTGTTTCTCATAAGAGGTTTAGTTGGGTATGTAAAAATAAAGCCATTATTTCAGTATCCTAATATTCATTTGTATTACTGGTAACCTAAAAGCCCAATATGGTTTCAGTGAAAAAGACAATCAGTAGGGAAAGTATCCTCCACAGTATTCTGTGTTAAGAACAATAATTATTTTTCTTTTAGAATTCTAAGGCCAGAGAAATACTAAAATCTATAATGAGTAGTACACAAAACTGATTTATTATGTCTGGGTAGTACTTGGTGTAGGTGTGTGATGGGAATTCTGCAGTCTTAAGAGGAAATTAAATTCAGAGTGCTTTTGTGAAATTGATTTTTTGTTTTAAGGAGAAATATTTTATTGATACTCACCTGCCACCATCCATCCTCATGTCCAAGGGGCCATCCTTCCGAAGGGAAAAACCTCTTTCAGGAGCATCAAGTTGCATGGAGGAACACCCAAGATCCAAAAGAACTCCATTCAAAGTCCCTGGCTGCACTCCGGCTTTCATTAATAAGTCTTCTGCCTGGCTGAACTGGCCTAGCATAGCTCGGATCTGCTTACTGTAAATAAACCCAGGAGACAGAGAAAACACTCCTATTATATTAAAGTGTTTCTTAAAGAGAGCACATTCTATTATTAGATAATTTAATCAATATGTATTTACTGAGTATCAACCACATGGCTAGTGCAATACAAAAAAACATATGGATATGGAAACTATATATCTTAGTTTCAAACACCAGAGCTGATTTCATGTAATCTTATTCTTATAAATAAACACAATTTATTATATACCATTGGGAAGGTATACAATAGCTCATAAATCAGAAATCATAAAAAATTCATAAATTAGAAAAATTCCTTTGTCAATCCAGATTTTTAATTTTAAATAGTTTTAAATCTATTTTAAAATCTATCATATGGGTAGGAAAAAGAAGCATATGCTATTTTATCAAAAGAATTACATTAATGAATAAGACAGTTAAAATACAATAAATAATAGAACAAGAATCATATAAAGAAAATATGATATATATACACAATGGAATATCACTAAGCCCCCCCTCCCACACACAAAAAAGAAATCCTATCATCTTCAACAATATGGATGGAAGTGGAGATCAGTATGTTAAGTTAGTCAGGCACAGACAAGTACTGGATGATAGCACTCATATGTGGGACATAAAATACTTTTCAATATAGTAGAATGGTGCTTATTGGCAATGGAGGAGAGTTGGGTGGAGGAAGGAAATGTGAAAAGGTTGATCAATGGGCACTAAATTATAGATAGGAGCAAGATGTTCTGGTGTGCAGTAGGATGCCTATAGGTAGAATAATGTACTGTATATTGCAAAAAGCTGGAAGAAAAAAATTTGAGAGTTGTCACAATAAAGAAATGATAAATGGTTGAGCAGATAGATATGTTTAACCTGATTTAAACATTGTAATATCTTTATATATTTATATACATATATATGTATTTACATACATATATATGTATTGAAACATTGCATACTATCCCAAAATATGTAAAACTTTATGAGCCAGTTAAACATAAATTTAATTCAAAAAACAGAAATCAGAAAAGGCATGTCATATAAGTTCAATCCAACCATTTTAGTTTTCTTCATGATTTTCCTATAATTTAGGATGGGGTGCTATGCAGCTACACATTGGAGAAATGAAACTATGACTAAAATAAATGATTTCTTGAAGAGGCAGTGTTTTATATCTCAGCAGAAATTCTGAAGTGATTGGAACATTCAGAATTAACTCAGGCAAGGAGTTAGGATCACCTTGTTGTTAGGCTAATTCTCTTTCCTACACAAAGGGAGATGCTGTCTTCAGGGTTCCTCAGGAGCCCCAGGGCCTTAGGGCAACTGGCATTCATTTTGGAAGGGGAATGAGAAAAAAATAGGGCAGCTCTAAAGATGTCATTCCTCCGAGTGTAAAGGAAGATGGAGTGAGGTTGGATTTCAACAATGTTGGGAAATTCACACTTATATATTTGCTTACATATTAATGATGTTTACAGGGAACTTCACAGTTCATTGTTTCATTTTTATTAAATACTGTGATTTTTTAATTTAACTCACCAAATAGATATTGATTATCTTCTGTATGTCAGTGATTATGCTATGTAAAGGATATATAAAGGGTATATGAAGATTAATAGAGTATGTCTTTTGGAGCTTTGAGCTGAGAGAAGCAAGATGTATAAATAGTTTACAAAATAATCTGAATGAAGCAAATGATAAACAGATGAGCAAATTGCCCTGTTTTTGGAAAATATGAACGCTAATATTAGCATTGGAAACCCTGAAACAATTAAATCTTGCCACTGAAAAGCAACTCACAAGTTATTTATGCCAATAAATTAAGAAATATTTTAATCATCCCCCAATCCAATATTACTGCTAAGTAATGGGGAAAGGGAGGAGAAACAGTCTAAATTCCTTTCTTTTCACTACATTGGTGAAGAAGGGATTCCCATTCAAAGACTGTGGAGATGGTTAAAAAGACAATAATGAACACCAGAATTCATAAACTGCATGTATTCACAACCTAGGAGAAGAAGACAAATTATGCATGTCAGGTCACACCGATTATACTCAACAGAGTGAACAAGCAGGGGCTGTGCTATTAAGAAGTTGGAGTGCCCCCTGGTTCCTACAGGTGGATGTGATTGGTTTGTTTAAACAGAGACTGGTAGGGATCTGAACGTGCTAATCAATAACTGGCAGAAATGGTGCCTGATGCTTATAAAAAGAAGGGTTATTTGGCTAGGGAATCTTACCTACAAAAGCATCATTAGAAGGAAATCTTATGGTTAGATCATTTGGGGAAAAATCATTTTACATATATTTAAGAAGTATATAAATATATATAGATATTATTATTATTATACATGCTGGGGATGTAGCTCAGTGGTAAAGCATGTGGTTAGCATGCAAGACTCTTGAGTTCAATCCCAAGCACCACATCAAAACTCAATACAAACCATAAAATGAAAAACAAAGAATTCACTATTGTTTTGTGAGTTTTTTCTAGTTGATGTCTGTTTCCTCACTACTTCTTTAACTTCTGTCTCTAGTATTACTCTATGTAAAATAAGTTGAAAACCTATGCCTTTCTCACATCTACCTTTAGCTAGTGTAAACAATATTTATTGGCTTTCTCTTTGTTGCCAATCTAGTCCAATAGGATCTCAAGATTCATCCTCATATTTTGGGAAAGACTGATCATATTCATGATGGTTTATATGTCTATAGCCCAGAAACTGGGCTATAGTACCCACTTATTTAATCAAACACTAATTTAGGTGTTACTATGGTTAACATCTACAATTAGTCGATTTTAAATAAAAGATACTGCCTTCAAGATGTTTGTTGGGTCTAACCCAATCAATTGAAAAGTCTTACAAGCAAAAACTAAAGTTTCCCAGAGGAAGAAAAAGTTTCTATTTCAAGACTGCAACTTCACCTTACCGAAGAGTTTTCAGCTTGCTGGTCTGCCTTACAGATTTTACATGTTAAGGCACACTGTCATGTGAGCAAATTCCTTGAAATAAGTCTCATATCTATATGTTAAAAATGTTTTAAATTATAATGTATATGTATGTGTGTACATATGTGTGTACACATGTATACTTATGTATATATGCTTACGTATGTATGCATACATACATACATAGTAGGGGATATATTTATATATCATATTTATATATTTCCTACTAGTTCTGTTTCTCTGGAGAGTCCTGATGGATATAATATCTCAGCTCAAGAAACAGGCTTTTGGCCAGGTGCAGTGGCGCACGCCTGTAATCTCAGCAGCTCAGTAGGCTGAGACAGGGGGATCGCAAGTTCAAAGTCAACCTCAGCAAAGGTGAGGCACTAAGCAACTCAGTGAGATCCTGTCTCTAAATAAAATACAAAATAGGGCTGGGAATTTGGCTCGATGGTTGAGTGCCCTTGAGTTCAATCCCTGGTACTAAAGAGAGAGAGAGAGAGAGAGAGAGAGAGATAGGGTTTTGATTAGCTGCCATTATATTCTGTTCAGAGGATGGCATGTGTCACAATTCTGGCCAAAGAGATAAAAGAGATATTTCCTAGAGATTTGGGGAAAGACCATTCCTCTTTCTTCCATTGAACTACTGAAAAGAAAAGTTTTTCTGAATCTCACTAATATAAAAGAAGTACAAAGTGCTGATTATTGCTAGTAGGTCAGCAGATTAACAAGGGCATTGGGTTGAGTCTCATCTAAACCCCAACTTGCCTCTGAACTGAATTATATGAGTTGAAAATTACTTTTGGTATTGAAAACAGTTAATTTTTCTTCTTTTTACTTATGACTAAAAAACATCCTAACTGCTATAGATATCATGATTCTCAGTTCTCCTTTTCTTGTATCTTCAGCCAGTCTCCATATAAAAAATCTTTCACCAGGATAGTTGCTCTTTTATGAAGTTGTGCCAGTTTGCTTATATGACTAAGTCTGAATTCTACATAATCAACACAGAATAAATTCTTACTTCCCTTGTTCAACTATTATATTACTATAGCTCAAAATCAAATAGTTTTGGAATTTATTTCATTGTTGAGCTATACTAACTCTAACTTTTTAGTCTTTTTCACATGCAATGCTGCTATGCCTATTTCTTCTATTATATATCTGGCATTTTTGTTAATTGCTTTTTATCTAAGTACAATTTTTGCCATACGTATTTTCCTTTCCTGTTTTTGAGACAGGGTCTCACTAAACTGCTGAGGCTGGCATCATTTGATGCCAGCCTCCCAGCCATTAAGTTTTATTAGTCTGTAGGCACAAAGCAGAGACCATCGCTAGTTTGACCATTTTATTAATCCTCTTCAGCAAGGAATTTAGAGTGAGCCAGAATAGTGGATGAATGCATATTTTCATTTTAGGAACAATAAGATCAAACATTTGTAAAGTGCTTTTTATAGGCCAGAACTGGTGCTTAGTCCTTTATGCCTACAAACTTATTTCATACTCAAAATAACCCTATGAGGTAGGTGACTGACTCACCTCAGATAAGAAAACAAGTACAGACAGTGAAGTCAAGTCATACAGTTAGTAGGCAGTGAAATCAGAATATAAACTTAGTCCACTCTCACCCCTAAGTCCATGTTCTTAGTTACTACACAACATTAACATTACCTCTCATGTTTCTATTTACTATATTTCAGATTTCCAACTCTTCATTATTACAATCTTGTCCTTATGTACAAATTTATCTTACTTTTCTAGTAAGATAAATTTACTAAATAATTGTTTTTATTTGCCATTGTTTCATAGACGTAGGTCTGCAGATTCAAGTCTCACAAATATTTGCTGAATAGGAATTATCTACCATGTACTGGATACAAGAATATGAAAATGAATAAGAACATACAGTATAAAAGGGCACATCAACAAATATACATAAATCACCTTGGAGATAGTTCACTTTTTTAAAGTAATAGAGGTATAGTGGAAAGGGGGAATGACATATTGCTTATGTTTAAATCTTGGCTGTGCTACTTATTAATCCTGTGGTAAT